GAAGACTAAAAATCATATGATCATCTCAATAGATGTAGAAAAAGCATTTGAGAAAATTTAACAACCATTTACTATAATAAATCTCAACTAAGTGGGCATAGAAGGAATGTACCTCCACACAATAAAGGCCATATATGACAAGTCCAAGCTAACATCATATTCTTTGGTGAAAAGCTGAAAGCTTTTCTTCTAAGATCAGGGACACAAGAATGTCCACTCTTGCCACTTTTATTCAACTTAGTATTGGAAGTCCTATCCAGAGCAATTAGGCAAGAAAAAGATATAAAAGATATCCAAATTGGAAAGAAAGAAGTAACTGTTAATATTTGCAGATGACATGCTACTATATGTAAGCGCCCACCCTAAAGACTCCATCTTCACTATTAGAATTGATAAACACATTCAGTAAAGTTGTAGCATACAAAATCAATACACAAAAATCTATTGTGTTTCTTTACACTAACAGCAAACTATGAGAATGAGGAATTAAGAAAACAATCCCATTTATAATTGCATCAAAAAGAATAAAATACTTAGTAATAAATTTAACCAAGGAGGTAAAAGACCTGTATACTGAAAACTACAAGACATTAATGCAAGGAATTGAAGAAGACACAAGTAAAAGGAAAGATATTCTGTGGTCATGGATTGGAAGAATTCATATTATTAAAACATCTATACTACTCAAAGCAATCTACAAATTCAATTCAATCCCTATCAAAATTCCAACAGTGTTTTTCAAAGAAATAGAACAATCCTAAGATTAAGTGTATATGGAACCACAAAAGACCCCAAAGAGCCAAAGCAATCTTGAGAAAGAAGAACAAAGCTGGAGACATCACACTCCCTGATTGCAAACTGTATTACAAAGCTATAGTAATTAAAACTTCATGATACTGGCATAAAAACAGACATAAGTATCAGTGAAACAGAATAAAAAGTCCAGAAATCAACCTGAGCATATATGGTTAATTAATTTATGACAAAGGAGCAGGAATATACAATGTGAAAAGGACAGTCTCTTCAATAAATGGTGTTGGGGAAATGGACAGCCACATAGAAAGGAATGAAACTGGACCACTATTTTATACCATACACAAAAATTAATTTTGAATGGATTAAAGACTTGAATGTAAGACCTAAAACTATAAAACTCTTAGAAGATAGGTGATAAGCTACTTGACATAGGTTTTGGTGATGATTTTTTGAATCTGACACCAAAAGTAAAAGCAAAAAAAGTAAAAGTAAACAAATGGAACCACTTCAAACCAAAAGCTTCTGCACAACAAAGAGAACCGTCAACAAAATAAAAAGGCAACCTACTGACTGGAAGAAAATATTTGCAAACCAAATAACTGATAAGAGATTAATATCCAAAATATATAAAGAATTCATACAACTCAAAAGCAAAAAAAAAAAAAATCCAATTAAAAATGGGCAGAAGATGAATAAACATCTTTCCAAAGAAGACATACAGATGGCCAGCTGGTACATGAAAAGATGTGTAACATCATTAAACATCAGGGACATTCAAATCAAACCCACAGTGAGCTATCATCTCACACCTATTAAAATGGTTATTATCAAAAAGACAAGAAATAACTAGTATTAGCAAGAATGTGGAGAAAAGAAAACCCTTATGCACTGTTGGCAGGAATGTAAATTGGTGCAACTACTATGAAAAACAGTATGGAATTTTCTCAAAATATTAAAAATAGAACTATCTTATGCAGCCATCAAAAGGTATGAGATCTTGCCATTTGCAACGACGTGGATGGAACTGGAGGGTATTATGTTGAGTGAAATAAGTCAAAAAGAGAAAGACAGGTATCATATGATCTCACTGATATGAGGAATTCTTAATCGCAGGAATCAAACTGAGGGTTGTTGGAGTGGGGGGTGGGGTGGGAGGGATGGGGTGACTGGGTGATGGACACTGGGGAGGGTGTGTGCTCTGGTAAGCACTGTGAATTGTGCAGGACTGTTGAATCTCAGATCTATACCTCTGAAACAAATAATGCAATATATGTTAAGAAAAAAAAAAAAGAAGAAGAAGAAGAAGAAGGTAGTGGGAGGGGAAGAACGAAGCGGGGAAATCAGAGGGGTGGACGAACCATGAGAGACGATGGACTCTGAAAAACTGAGGGTTCTAGAGGGGAGGGGGGTGGGAGGATGGGTTGGCCTGGTGGTGGGTATTGAGGAGGGCACGTTCTGCATGGAGCACTGGGTGTTGTGCACAAACAATGAATCATGGAACACTTCATCTAAAACTAATGATGTAATGTATGGGGATTAACATAAGAATAAAAAAAAAAGTAAAAAAAAAAAAATAGAACTATCATATAATCCAACAATTCTACTTCTGGATACTTATCTGAAGAAAAGAAAAACATTAATTCAAAAAGACAAATGCACCCGCATGTCCACTGTAGCATTACTTACAATGGGCTAAGATGTGGAAGCAACCTCAGTGTCCATTGACGCATGAATGGATAAACTGTGGTATATATATACATAATGGAATATTATTCAGCCATAAAAAAGAATGAATTCTTGCCATTTGTGACAACATGCATGGGCCTCAAGGGCATTATGCTAAGTGAAATAAGTCAAAAAAGACAAATACCATATGTCTCTCTTATATGCGGAATCAGAAAATAAATAAATAAATAAATAAATAAACCTAATCTCGTAAATATAGAGAACAGCTTGGTGGTTGCAAGAGGCTAGGGGTGGGACGGTAAAGAAATGGGTAATTTTTTTTAATTTAAATAAATTGAATAAAAAATTTTTTAAGTTTAAAAAATGAAATAAAAAATTATAAGTGGGGGTGCCTGGGTGGCTCAGCTGGTTGAACGTCTGCCTTCCGCTCAGGTCCTGATCTCAGGGTCCTGGGATCAAGCCCCGTGTCCCGAGTCGGGCTCCCTGCTGATCGCAGAGTCTGCTTCTCCCTCTCCTTCTGCCCCTCCCCCCATTCGTGCTCTCTCTCTCTCACTCTCAAATAAATAAAATCTTTAAAAAAAATTATAATTGAAGCCAATTTTCTGTTTATCCCATGGTGCTCCCACTTCTTAATCTTTTAAGGGGCCCTACATTTTGTGACACACTAAAATGGAAACAGGAAAAGCCTCAGTGAGTAGAGAAATATTACAAACATGACTGACATGCAACTCAGAAACAGAGTTTAAACCAAAGGTAACAGGATTATCACTTTTTTCCTGAAACGATTAAATATTTCAAATCATGGCTAATTTCTCCCTACCTTATCAACATCACCAGCCTCCTCCCATCCAGGTTTAGAATGTGATTTAAGTTACATGACAACCCCCCTTCATTCTCTCTCTGTTTCTAACCTAATGGGATATATTCCTCTTCTAAAAAGTGGACAGTAGGGGACCTAACTGGCGCAGTCAGAGGGACATGTAAATCTTGATCTTGGGGTCATGAGTTCAAGCCCCATGTTGAGAGTAGAGATTACTAAAAAAAAAAATTTTTTTTTAAACTTAAAAGTGGACAGTAAATGTCATTTTCTATGGAACTGTGGAATATGCTACAGTCCTGCACACTGGCTGAACAGGCTATTTCTCTTACTCTGTAAGGATTTAATGAGCACTAACTATGTGCATAGTACTGTCCTTGTACTTTCGAGGATAAAAAGAGGACTCAGACATGAAACATGCTCTCAGGGAACTTACCATCTAATAGAAGAAGAGCCGTGCCCCACAGAACTAGCCCAAATACAAGTTGACCAAACAAACCAGCATGGATCTGCTGTCAAAGAAGGAAAGTTTGTTGCGAGGAGAAGAGCAAAGACTTCAGAATCAGGCCCCGTGAGAGACCATGAACAAAGCATGGTTCCTTCCAGCAAGCGTGTTCTAGGCTAGAAGAAGGAAAACACATACAAAATTAAACTTGGGAGAATAATTGTTCTGCTGCTACAGGAATACAAGATGCTTGAAAAGGAAAAATATACTTTGGACTGGGAGGATACACTGGAAAAAAGAGATGAAGAAGGAAGGAGAGAATGAACACGTGTTCAGTAACCACAACTTGTCGGGGACGGCTGGACACTGCGCACGCTTCATGGAGGTGGCAGGTCAACGGAATCCTGAACCACGGGTGAGATGTCAGAGCTGTGATGGCAGACATGGACATTCCAGAAGGAGGAAGTGATGTGAGCCAACTATGGAAGTGAGAGAATCCAGAGGAAGTTTAAGAACGCTGAGAAACCTACAGAGGACTGAGTGACAGGAGCACACACCAGGGCATTGGAAAATGCAGATTTCCGCCGGGTGCTAGAGGGTTTGCAGGCCATTCTAACACGACTAGACGCCATGTTCGGTGACAGAAAAACCATCCAATGTGTTCAGCAACAAGGATAGTAAAATGGATAATCTTTCTTATAGGATAGAATCTAACCACGCACTATGCATCAAATAAGTGTACTATAATATCAGTTAACTTACAACTACTTCCATTTCACAGACAGACTATTAAATATCCTGTTATGATAGCAATCATAGCGGTTCACCAGATATGGGACACGTTTTAGAAAAACATGCATGTTTAGACTAATCCCAGCCAGCCAGAATGAAACTAAAGTGTAATTTTCATAACTGCACTCAGTCTCAAACATCAAACTCATTTGTAAAGCCACTTTTCAAAAATAAGTGGAAGGACTTACACTCTTTATAAATGACAGATTCTAAAATGCTGCAGTACAGTTCTCCAAACCCAGAGGATCACTCTTGGAAACATCACCCCCTCAGGAAAACATTACTCAATTTATATCTTCAGAATCAGTTGAAAGCTCAAACAAAATATAAAGAGAAATTTCATGTAATAAACTCTGTGGCATAATGAATACTGAAAAGACTACAGCAAACCCTCTTTGCACTTGATAAAAGGTCAGAGGTCCACCTGGAAGACTTCTGTGTGACATACTTCCAGGTCACATACAAATCTGAGCGGGGTCTCAACTAAAACCTTCCACAAGTTCGTCAGGCTTTTATGGAAGATGATGGTTGGTGGACCAAAAATGCTACTTTGTAAGCCATATGTAGTGCTTTCAAGGGACCTGCCTAAAAACACAAGTACAATACTTATGGAAAAAGAAGAAAAAATGGGGTAAAGCGCAGACGGAAGTTGAACTTTGGCTGGCCAAAGCTGTGGTTTCTCAATGACACTCTTTGGTATTTACACTGAGACTAGAAGATGATGCCCAGAGATACCTCTGAGGTTCTTGTGAGACTCTGAGGTCAGCTGTACATGTTTTCTTTGTGTAGAGGCATCATTTCCAAACCACACTTCCTCGTCTATCCCTGAGCAGAGTGTTCCTCTTAAGCCTTAAAAAAGCAATCCTTAAATTTACCCGCACCTATTGAACCCAAATGGTCTAATCCATCGACAAATGTAATGCTCTATAGTTATCAAAGTGTGTTAAGACCTCCAAAAAAACTTATTTTTCCAAGAGAATTTAAGAAAAATATTTAGCAGACTTAAGCCATGCATGATTTACTGTGAAAATAAATATGAAATAAATAAAATGTGGAAAATATAACTCAAAACATACAATAAAATAAAACATAGGGGATTTCCAGGATTAACTGGGCCTTCAAGACCATCTAAATCCATCTCTTTATTTTTATATGATCAAATTTAAGCAAAAAAAGTTAAATAACTTCACCAAGGTCAACCAGTATTTAAGTAACAAAAATTAAGTGAATGTCAAACTATGATTTAACAAGATAATTTGTATATTATTTGTATTATTCTTACACAAATTAAAACTAAGTAGCATTTATCCCAATTAAACTAAAATCCAAACACTTAAATGACTGTACATAATTAATGGCATTTATAATGTATATCATGTCTCTCCTGAAAAGATCCTGACTGAATAAATAATCATAGTTTCTGACCTCACTCTACTTATTTTCTCGAGCAATTTTAGAAATACAAAAGTGTGTTGGGACAGTCTACAGACAGAATACAGCCATATTAATGGGACCTAAGAATCAAAACTTTCTAATTTCTTGCCACTTTTGCTTAATTTATCAAAATCAGTGTGTTATAAACAAATCAATGGTGGTTGGTTTCATTTTTTCTGAAGATTTATATTTTATGAATATATATTTTCTTTTAAAAATAGAACTAACTGGGCGCCTGGGTGGCTCAGTTGGTTAAGCAACTGCCTTCGGCTCAGGTCATGATCCTGGAGTCCCGGGATCGAGTCCCGTATCGGGCTCCCTGCTCAGTGAGGAGCCTGCTTCTCCCTCTGACCCTCCCCCCTCTCATGTACTCTCTCTCATTCTCGCTCTCTCAAATAAATAAATAAATCTTTAAAAAAAAAAATAGAACTAACTAAATGCAATGCAATATCTTGCATTGGATCCTGGCAGTGTCATAGAAAAATGACACTGAAGGAAAAACTGGTGGACTCCAAATAGAGTTTTTAGTTTAGTTAATAGTAATATACCAATGTTAATCTCTTAGTTTGGACAAAAGTCTCATGATTAGGTAAGACATTAACTTTAAGGGAAAATGGCTGATGGGTATATGGGACATTCATTTTACTATCTTTACAACCTTTCTCTAAATCTAAAATTATTCCAAAATAAAAAGTTTATTTTTAAAATATAGAAATAGGGACACCTGGGTGGCTCAGTTGGTTAAGTGACTGCCTTTCGGCTCAGGTCGTGATCCTGGAGTCCCGGGATCGAGTCCCTCATCGGGCTCCCTGCTCGGCAGGGAGCCTGCTTCTCCCACTGACCCTCCCCTCTCTCATGTGTGCTCTCTCTCATTCATTCTCTCTCTCTCAAATAAATAAATAAAATCTTTAAAAAAATAAAATAAAATATAGAAATAAAATTAAGAAATATCAGTAATATTTGGGGGTGGAGGACACACTGGACCAATCAAAACAATCTTCACTGATCAGAAAAATGATGGAAAATGGTAGTTTCAAATAAAGGAAGGAACAACGGAGGGAAGGAAGGAAAGGAAGGAAGAAAGAAAGGAAGGGGTCAGGGAAGGAAGGAAGGAAGAAAGGAAAAAAAGAAATTGTTCCACTTCCTTCATAAGGAGTTATATCATAGTAATACAGAGCCTATTTTCTCTAAACCCACAAATGGTCTAACTCCTATATTTATTCACTTAATCCTAACAAAACAATGAAGTAGTTGCTTTTATTACTCCCATTTTAGAGATGAGTGAACAGAAAGTTTGGTTACTTGCCTGAGGTCACATGGTTTAAATACATCATGGGAACAGGATTTGAATTAGGCTCTATTAGACACCAGTCTTTGTAACAAGAGAATGACTTTGCTTCCCTTTCTATGAACTTCCGAAGGTCTCGTGCCCTAGTAATGATTTACAGTGCAAAGTGAAATTTTTCTTTCAGTTTTTCCTCGCAGCCTTTTTATATACTTATGCAGGAGGCTGAGCCTAGGTTTAGGCTCACTGAGGACACCGGACTTTAGGAGCCAATAGAGTGGGCAAGCAGAAAGTGGAGAAGACAGAATCGTATGCTTGTGAGCTTAAATAGTTCTGCCTTTTAGGTTGAATCCTTGAAGTTTTTGAGAGGCTAAATCTCTATGAATAGAAGCATCTTTTAGTACATCTGGCAAAGCCTCAATAAATATCCACTGCTATTTAGCAATTTCAAATTTACGAATTAAAAAAAAAAGGAACAAAGGATTATGCTTGAAAAGCAGCATTTTCCCCAAGGTGGTTCCAGGTGCATGGGTACCTGGATTTCCTACCCCTGCAAAAGCAACAGTCCCAGGAGACACCGCTCATTAAGTGATAGAGCAGAGCCACACTTCCACAGCTGCAAATCTCAGCTCCACCCCAGAGAGGAGAGCCACCTGTGAGAATTCAATGGGATGATGTTGTGAAAATACGTGAAAACACTGAGGAGTCTTACCATTGTAAACCATGACTGTTGTTCAAGTATGATTTTCTCATTTCCTAAAACTGTTGAGAAGGGATGATATAGGGAGATATTGACTGGCATATTGTTCTCTTCCTTCCTTCTTGCCCTGTGATCATCTTTTTTTTTTTTTTTTAAGATTTTATTTATTTATTTGAGACAGAGAGAATGAGAGAGACAGAGAGCACATGAGAGGGGGGGAGGGTCAGAGGGAGAAGCAGGCTCCCTGATGCGGGACTCGATCCTGGGACTCCAGGATCATGACCTGAGCCGAAGGCAGTCGCTTAACCAACTGAGCCACCCAGGCGCCCGTGATCATCTTTTCTTAGGGCAGCTCATCACCTCTAGGATGAGTAGGATTAGTGAAGAAAGAGGTCACATTCTTGGCTTCAAAGATCACAAAAAGCCAGGTCATTTGGTAAATTTATGGGAAAGAGTAGAAATATTTAAAATAATATGGGAAAACACTTTTTCCTTGGCATCTGTGGCCCACTTAATAAAGATCATCCACAACCTTTGGATTAAAGAAGAATTGGAGAAGAAGGAACCTTAGTTAGTGGCCCACTGACCTAAGCCCTACCTATAGCCTTGCGGGGAGGAATAATCAAAGGCCAAGATAAATTGAGGGATCTATGGACTGGGAGGTATGTGACTCATTACCTTTCTGGAGTCATGGGGAATATCCTAGGAGAGAAGAGAGAGCATCTACACAGAGATACCCAAGAGAAACACTCTAAGCCATCCTCATAGGGCTTCAGCATGCACCCTGACAGGATGCTGAGAAATGCCAACATTTTTTGTTTGCTTTTGCTTTTCATATCTCCAGTGTGGCATGAGTTTGCAAAAACAAAGTACACCAAAGGATCCTCAGAATCGGGAAGGGAGAATTTACCTACAGTCCAATATTATGCACTTGACTTCCAAACTCAGAAGACATAAAGGGATGACACCATGTGAAGGCGCAATAGGTGGTCGGACTACCTCAATGGATGCCAGCAGAAGGCAGGCCCCTCTGCCCGCTGACACCACAGCAGTGGGTCATTGCCCCAGGACTGAGAATTATAATCAAAGAGAACAAGGAGGAGGGAGAAAATCCTGATTTCCTTTTAGTTGAAACTTGAAACGATCCTTCACCAAAAAAAGAATCCCTGAATTGGATTGAATGTACCTGTAAGTGTAAGGAGGAAAATAAACACCTCTCCTGCCTTCGGACAGGAAGGTGGCTTGAAAGAGAAATTAAGTCCAGTGATAGGAAAAGGAAGTTATATTTTTGCACAAATGATTATATATTCTGTACAAATTAATATCTCCTATGCTACTATTTCTAATAAGACACCATTCCATAAAATGGTGTAGTAATGTTTCCCTCAGAGATTCTACCTCAAATTTCTTGCCATGCATGTATCCTCTCTGGACCCCAACAGCACTGTGCCTCATGTTTTGCCCAGCCCATAAACATTAACAAATCAATTGATGAATTTTTTTTAAAAGACCGAAACAATAAAATTAACATAGGGAAGTTTTTCATGGTGTTTACTTGATTAGTAACTTCAAAGCTTTGTTTTATCCCTAGAGCCCCATCTCCACAATTAAAAAATTCCCCCCAAAATGCATTCTATGGAACCCCTCCTTTCTGGAAGTACCAACACATACAATGGAAACATAAATATCTAGAAAAAAATAATTCTGCTTATAATCTTATTCTTCACAATATTCCTCTTCCCTACCCACCTCAATGGAAGAAATATACTTCCCTGCTATACCATGACTTCAGAAAAAGTCCCACGACTTACTTTGACCAACAGGATGTTAGCAGACCTGACACAAAATGAGCCTTGGCAAATGCTTGGGAGTCTGGCTTTACTTTGTGCCTTTGATATCACTATACGAAGAGCTTCCCCAGATTAGCTGCTGCCCCCTCAGCCTGGGCCCAGAATAAACACAGGTAGAGCAGATCTGAGCTCGGCCCTCAAAGCAATTTCAGCTGGATCTGCCGTTTGAAGCAGAACCACCCAGTTGCACTCACCCTATATCTATTTATCCCCATGACCGACATGGGCACATAGGCAGGAATAAATTATTGTTTGACATCTGAATTTTGGATTGGTTTGTTAAGCAGCAATAACTGATGATACAGGACCTAGTGTC